GATATTTCAGTTTTTCCTTTTTAATAAATTTACAGACATTTTTAAAATTGTTTTCACTTTGTCATTATGGGGCACTGAGTGTAGATTAATGAGAAAAAAATGATATTGAACAATTGTAGTATCAGGCTGCAACACAAAATTGAAAAAAGTGAAGGGGGTCTGAATACTTTCCGAATGCACTGTACATCTATGGACATTGAATAGTATCAAAAAAAGATTAAGCTGGTGCATCTTCCCCAATACTTAAAATTTACCATGTAGTTGTACCAAATTAAAATACATCTTTACCCTTTGAGTGGCTAGTACACATTATCATGTGGTTCTTTTCCCACTACATTTAGAGCTAGATAAATGGCAGGCACTTGCTTCAAAAATGATACGAAAAGTTCTTTGGATCTCATGCATGCCCAGCACCTTTGTGATATTCATTGAAGCAGGTCATTTCTTGTTCAGGTTTCTGTACAAGTCTAAAAAAAATGAAGATGTTTTAAAAGTTTTAACTGATTAAAAGAAATATGAAGCATGTGCCCAGAATAATAATTGAAGTATACATAGCCCTAGTAAATGGCCGCCTTCCTTCATACCGCAGTTACTTAATAAGTCAGTCTTATGCTAAGGTCTAAGGAGCAGTCATGGTGAAAGACAGCCCATTGGGAGGGGGGAAAAAACAGGATTAAGATTTGTTCTTTAAGGTTCCCCTACAAATGCATTTTCAAAATATCTATTAAGTTATGTTGCCATTTCAACTTTTTTAAATTTATTTTTTATTATTGAGAAGAAAAAGAAAACACATAGAAAGTGCTTTAACCAAAATGTGAAAGAAATACAACAAAGAAAAAAATGTTAATACGTCATTGTAACAGTAAACAATTACAATTTTATGTATACTTATCTAATGCAAATATTATTCAAGTACATATTTATTTCTAGTTGCCATTTCAACTTTGATTTCATGTTAACTATTTTATCATAAATAGTACTCTAAGAATGGATGATGTCATTTCCCAATGTCTGTTCATAAGTATGCCTAGTAAAAGCAATATGCAATAATTAACTACCTACAGTGAAGCCACCAGACCATGTCTGGATCTGTGTGATCCAAAGGACAGAGTCTTCCAGAGAATTCCAGAACATTCTGTTTCTGGACCCATAGGTTTTCCCACATTCTTGGTTACTAATTTGGAGTCCTGTTTGAAGCAATGTGAAACAATAGTGTACTATTTTATTCTAAGTAGGAGCTTTTTGTTGTTGTTGATAAATTGGTTAATGTATGAGGTATTTAACTAATTGCTTAACGTTTAATTTTAACAGAAAATATTTATTGCTGCTGATAAGTACCATACTAGCACTACTGTGTAATTTCACTGGCCTTGACTTTATCATACTATGATGGTTAACTTTGTCAAATGACATATCTCAATACTTGCAAATAGCCTGGGAAAAGTGTCACATTTATTCTTTAGCTAATAAACTTTATCACACATGGTATCTAAACAGAGATAGAGGACAGTTACATAAACTTAATAATTTACTATAACATAGATCTTCTGTTTCTTTCCATGGAAGAAAAATTATCACTCATCAGTTTGAAGCATTTTAAAAAAATACTTCCTGTATGTGAACTATAACTATTACAATGTTCCTTATTCTAGAGACATACCCTTGAGCATCGGTTTAATGCATACATTCTTTGGCATATTTTTGATATAAACAAATGTCATATAAGTGAGTTCTACAGTGTTGAGTTTTCCATGTAGTACATGAAGACCAAAAAACCCCTAAGAAGCTTATATAATAAAAGTGGTCCTGAGAGAGAATTATTTCCTAAAAAGGGCATATTTAAAAAAACAAACAAAAAACTCTGATTTTCCTGAATTCCAGCATTATCTGTTGTTGTTGTTGTTTTTTAATTCTAAAAGGTTCCTTCTTGCCTTTCTGCCACAGCTATTTGGCTGGATAGTGCTGAATTATCTTGTAATTTGATTATCTTGTAATCTTACGCCCCTATCAGGCACTCCTGGTGGACTATAAGCTTTATTTAAGTTGTATTCCCCTGTCGTATACTCAGTTTCTTAATGATTAGTGCTGAAGATGAATCTTTAGGAATCATTCTCTATATAGAGAACGTTTGGTTGAAAATAAAACCCAGAAAACAACCAACAATCTTTAACAGACTGGCAAACCAAACAGAAGAGTGGCGTATGTCTTCTCAGAGATGAAATTCTCAATGAGGAGAGACATATTAGTAACAGAAGAGTGCAAATCCCTGATGTATACTGGGTACCAAATTTTACTGATACTGAATGATTGTATTGCCTTGTTGGTTATTTCATTGCCTACAGCAGTGTTTCTCAATCTTTCTCAACTCTGGTTGGTAAGTTG